CTCCATCATGAATTCATGAGTTGCTCTTCTGCCATGTGCCTCCCTGCCTTAGAGGCAGCTGATTATGGTAAGAAACCTCCAAAAACTAACTGTGAGCTAACTAAACCTCTCCTCGTTTAACTTCGGGTGTCAGGCATTTTGTCCTGGCAACAATAAAAATGTGTCCAACACAAATTGCTTCTGTACTGAACATGTACATTTTTGACAAGACTTTTCCTGTCATTATTTCCTCACCATTACAGTATAACTTTATGTAACACTTATATTATTCTAGATTGTATAAGTAATCTGGAGATGATTTAAACTATAGAGAAACAAGTGCACACATTATATGAAAATATTCTGCCATCTATATGAGACTTGGGAACACATAGATTATTGGCATTCATGGGGAGGAGGGTCTTGGAACAAGGGACGACTGTGTTATTCCTTTGTTACCTTCTTTGCCTCTCTCTTGCCTTCCTCTAACTCTTCAAAAATCTACTTCTTTCTGATTCAGACTCCTTAAAAGTAGGCACGTTTTATTCTTTCCCATTGTTCTTCAGCATAGGACCTGGTTTTCTGGCTAGCTCTCTAGATCCCTCAGAGTTTACTGCTATTTGTTCAATGAGACGATGTTCAAGGAGCTGGGTTCCTATCCCCTTTGTGCCTTCATCCCCATTGTCATCCTTGAGTATTACCCACATGCTCCAGTATGTTTTTGATTGCAAAAATAACATCCAGTCATTGCCTTTACGAGGTAAGATCCTTCTTCTCTTGGAGTTCTTGATGGCAGCAAACACATGACCATGAGCAACTCTGAGGAAATCCATCATAAAATATCTGCTTCTGAGTGTTTGAAAAAATAAGCTGTTGCTATAGGATTTAATAAAGCTGGCCTAATGCCAAGATGGAAAACCTGTGGTCATCAATTCCCAAGGCAGCTTCAGCTGAGAGGGCTCATTTTGAGATGAAAATTGTCTTCCTGTTTTCTTACTACATCAATGATACAGCAATTTATTTGATAATTTCCAGTTGTGCACAAGCTAGTCAGCAGAAAGATTAGAGTTTCCTTTCTTCTCTGGATGAAAGAGTATTCATTCAAAATAAAGAAAAATAAATATAAAAAAAGAGAAGGTAAGAAAGAAGTAAGGGGAGAAATACATAGCAAAAATATATTTTAAAAATCCACCCTCTTCTCACTGATTTCAGGGGAAAAAATAATGTGATACACAATGGCCTGCTTAGTTTTGTTTTGAGCATTGCCTCTCCAGACACCTGTGTTATTGGGCAAACTGAGGAGAATCCTTAGCAATTTGATACTGTGTAAGTAAATATATCCCCTACACTGACTGTTCTTCTCTTGTTCATTTCTACTTTGTAAGCTGGAAGGAGGATATCAGTTGATCATTGGAATTTCACTTAGATTTTTCTCATTAAACTGCTCACACATTTTATTTCTTTTGGATGGGGAGCAGAGAGATAACATTCCAGACTTGCAAAAGCATAATAAAACCTTCAACAATTACAAGATACTTCCCTTCACCATCGGGGGAAGGAACTTCAAATTAGGCTGTAGATTTTCTATTGATGAGCAACCAAATTTATGATTGTAAGGTATAATAAAATTATCATATTACAACAAGGTCAGGAAATGTGGTTAGAAACTTTAACTGACTTTTGTTGCTAACTCCTCCCATTATGTTTTCAAGGTCAGAGTAAGGTCAAGTCAGGTCTGTTCATGGAGGGATGAGGGTAGCAATATGGGAATTTGGAAATTTGGGCTTCTACTTTCTCCTATCTTAGGAATGATCTTAGCCCCAGGCATGTAAATTGAAATGTCTTTATAGAACTTTGTTGACACTAAAGAGAGGAAGGGAAGGTAATCAACTCTGCGATCAATTTATTTGCTAGAACTGTTGTTTCAGGTTGGGAAATCTAAGGGAACAGGAAAGAGAATAGCATTGCTGAGGAACGAGGGAAGCAGAACTGGTCAGAAGCAAAGGTTGAACTATGATGAAATGGCAAGAAAGGTTTGGGCCAGTGCCCCAGGAAACTCCAGATCAGGATGACCCATCAGAGGGACCATCAAGGAGCAGTCACTGCAGTCAGGTCTTGCTGCTGGCCTTTACTTCAAGGTTGCCCCCAGGGAGCCTCTGTCCACCGATCCCTTTGGTGGAAGGCTGTTCCCCAAATAGGAAAGTCTGGAGGCATCACTAGCAAGGCTCTCAGGTATGAGGGCATTGGCTTCCAGACGGGGTCAGAAGGGTTCCCCAGCATCTAGCAACAACTGGGTTGAGATCATGAATACTCTTGATACACTGCAAAGTGAGGTCTCAGTCAGAGTTAAAATATCAAGATTAGCATGAAGGTCTTGGGACAGCAAAAGGTCAGGGCAATGAGAGGCTGGCTTTCACAAGTTCCTATATTTTCACTTGCCCTGTGCCTCCCTGAACAGTCAGCCAGCTCCTCTGCCTCAGTAGTACCCTTCCCCAAATAAGAGCTAATGAGTTAACAGTTCCTTTTGCAGGCACTTTCAAGGTATCTATGCTTTAATACTGTTTTCTGTGTCAAGAAAAGCCAACATAATGTAATTTTAAGAGCACAGGCCTTGAAATCAAACAGGTATTGATTCAAATTCTAACCCTGACAATTACTACTGGTGCGGCCATGACCAAAGGACTTAACATCTCAGATTCAATCTTTTCATTTATAAAATGGAGCCAGTAACATCGACCTCATTGGGTGAAAGTGACAAACTGGCATCATAAATGTGAAGGGTCCAATGCATGTTAACAGTTATTATTTAAATGACAGCAACTTAATATTACTAATAATATTTGCATCAGTATTATTAAGCAACTTAATATTATTAATAATATTTGCATCAGTATTATTAGACATCAGCCACATCTGTCTGGGCTGCTAGGTTTGTATTTTCCAGGTGTGGGATACAAGTGGATTTTTGCTAACAGTGTGACTATCTCTCTGAGATGGATCGTGTTTTTCTTATAACAACAAAATGCGGTCAGTCATAAGCTCTTCAATTGTGGCTTCTGTTCACACATGGAAGACATGTGGAGACACAGCGTGCACTGATGTTAAATGGTCTAAAAGCCAGGCCTGGGTCAGTCGATTAAGTGACACTAGTCTTTCTCAGCCTGCTGCTGTCTTGGGAGCAAATAACAGAGTTTGCATAAAGTAGGTAGAGCAAAGACAGCCGAGGGGAATGTGGTGTCATTAGAAGTTGCAGAAAACTATAGTGACTTCAGTTTTCATAATTAAAGTTTTTAAACTAAACCTGATATTCCTTTAAGATGCTTAAATACATTACCCATAAATTTTATATATGTGAATGAATACACATGAATGTATACATAAAATAAATCTATATAAGTTATAAATATATAAGTTAAATTTTCATGTATATATATTCAAAATTTGTTTCAGCACTGAATAAACAATGCATATGTTGGTGCCTAATTTTACTTCGCATCAAGATTAATTATTTTTCAAGGTAAATATTGACTAAAGTGGAGACCAGGGCAGTGTATACCTCTCAGTTCAATAATTCTCAATGTTAACTTCAGCAGAAATCAATGTCTGCTTATTGTACTCCCAAGGCCCAAAGCAGGCAACTCCACCATTTTAAATACATTTTAGTTCTAAAATTAAATTAAAACCCAAGTTGTAGATCTCATGGGTACTGTGCACTACAGAGTTCTTTCTACGAAGTGTTAAATAAAGGTATTTATTAGATCTGTGGCCCTTGTCACCAGTCAGATGCTATTACGCTTCTGTGGATATGAGGGAATCATTGTAAGGTGGTCAAAGGTAAGCAGGGACTATGTACAGGATTCATGCTGAAAACTTTTAGCCCAATCTCATTAGAGTAGAAATAACAATCAGGAGTCCATCTGGCTCTTTGCCATGAAGGAAGATAAGCAGCTGTTCATACTGCTCCCAGCCAGCAGTTCCAAAGCAGTTTGGGTGAATCCACAGGTCAAGCAGGAAAAGAAAGAGAAAAGGTTTGATGAGCCACGGGCCAGCTCCAGCCACTCCAGCAACGGAGCCAGGAGTGGGTGGTGAAGCAGGAGGTTCACAGGAGAGCCTCATGTACACATCTCTGTGTGTACACAGCCGTGGCCATTCCTGGTTTGACATTCGGGGTTTGCCATGTACCAGAGCAGCTGTAGCAACTGACTTACTCGGGAGCTGCCATTGTCAACCACAGGAGACCGGTAACCAGGACAATTAACAAACTAATATGAGGCCTTCGAAACCTTCCTTACATATATAAACCTCTGTCTCTGTCAGGCACTGCACTTCTACCATTTGGGAATATCAAGAATGGTACAAGTCAGGAGTGTTAAGAACTTTAGGATCCAACCATGCCTTGAACCATAACCAGACTAGAGGGCTCGGAGTGGAAGAACAGAGTGTGTTGCGGTAACCAAACACCTGCAGCACCCTCCTCCCAGAAGCAGCATTCATCTTTCCAAGGGTGGTGCCACACAAGTGGCCTAGTTACCTCGCACTAAGCTGCTTCTTCAGAGTTGTATTTCCTTTGTACTGCTACACTGAAGACCAGCTTCTAGCACATGAACATTTGGGGAAAACATTAAAAACATGTTCAAGTCATAGCAGGGAACTTTCACACATCTATTTCATCTGCACACTGTACAGAGTGGTTATACAAATGCCAGACATACTGCAACACATAGCCTGTGTATGCATACACACACACACACACACACACTCACACACACACGTGTGTGTGCAGATAAATATCTGAGTGTCCACCTAAATTTGATGCACAGAATACAAAATTTCCTATTTAAATAGGTAGACTGTAAGGACTATGAGAGCCACAGTTTTGTTAAGGTTACTGATATTTCCAGAATCTAGGTACGTTAACTACCCACAACATCAATAACAATTATATTACTACCAACAACTACACCAATGAATTAGAAATTTCACTGGACAGTGAGCACTTCAATTTCTAATGATACTAGCACTTTGCTTGGTACATGATACTTTATTATGGAATGAATGAATGAACTTTACATTAATCTAATTTTGTAAATTACAGAAATACTTGGCCATAGGGAAAAAGTTAAACATTAAAAAGAGTATTCAACTGCAAGCCAGAATCTGTGTTGTTCTATCAATTTTACTTCCCAGTAGTAACTGATATTATAGTTTATGTGCTTTTCAAAAATTTAAAAACACTTACACGTATACTTACAAATGGGAAAACATATTCTTTGTCTTTTTCTCAGTTTTAGCATCTTATCAGATAATAGATATCTGCCCCATTTTTTTAAAGACAAAGGCATAATATCCATAGCACCCTGTCATATTAAAGTAACATAACTTATTAATCATCTTTCATAGGTAGAAATTTGCATTCTTCTGAGTCATTTACCCTTTCAAGTAATTTGACAATGAACATCTCTATCATGCTTCAGAGGCATCACTAACAGAGACTCAGTGGATATGGTTCCTCCTGATAAACGAGCAGCACAGGGCCTTGTGCCCCAGTGAAGTTGACACAAAATGAACCATCCCAAAGTGCTATGGTTGATACTTTGTGTCAACTTGAGAAGTTTAGAAGTTTAACTAAAGACACTCAGCAGGGAGCCAGGATCCTTACTTTGTAAATATCCTCATCCTGTGCAAGCAAAGGGCACAGAGATTTTGCTAATACTACACCCACCTTGGAGAAGGGGTGGCCTGTGTACAATATAAAGGAGAAAAGGCTTGCTCTCCCCCACTTTTTTGCTCTGGCTGCTGCCTCAAAGTATTGTCCTAGTGCAGTGCCACCCTGCCTTGGAGTCAGCTGATTATGGACTGAAACCTCCACAGTGAGCTAAATAAACCTTTCCTTGCTTCATTTGGGGTGTCAGGTGTTTTGTCTCAGCAACTCGAGAAAGTAACCAAGACATAGAGTTATTCCCAAAGATTTTAAGTTAGAACAAATTCTACTCATTTTTTTAAAAATGTAACTTGGGACTAAAGTGTGGCTTTTATTTCTGTACTGTTTGCATGAGTGAAGTCTCTAATACTCAGTGATATGTACATACTAGGTTTCACTTTTAGTTTCTTAGTCTTTGGAAACTAAGATTTAGTGCTGGTGAATAAATTCCACTCTTTGAAATACTCATTAATATATTACAGTGTTGCCAATCCCAGCTCCTGGCATAGGGCTCTCCTTTGAAATTCTGATTTAACCTGCCTTTTACATGTATAATCTCACAAACAACAGTGGGCATTTTGCATTCAGAGGGCTTTGGGATCAAACCTTTAGAGAGTTTATTACTGGTCATTCTCAGCTTCTGGCTCATCAGCAAATTCCAAATTCATCTTGATGATTGCTACTGCTGTACTATTCATCCAATTTTATTTATAAATGAAACAGGCCTTTGATCATATACTCTGCAAAGTCTGCTGCACTGTGTTGAATCTGCTGTGTTCCCTTTGTACTTTAAAAGCAGTAACCATGCTAGAGACAGCTTGACCTTACCGTGAGAAATCGCATTTTATCATGAAACTTGGCAGAGCCTTCAATTTCCTCCCATCTAATATCTGTCAGTCATTCCCATCGTCCAGGAAACATTTTCTCCACTCTCCATGTGAAAATTGTTATCTCTGGTGGCAGATACAACTTCTCTGGGGCCAGATCATCCTCATCCCCGGCTCAATCATGTTGCATGGCTGGATCCCTGTAAAAAACCAATTGTGTTCTTGAAAGTGTAGCTGGAAAGTTGGTAATGCAATACAAAGACACTAGGTCCCCTGAACATACCATTAAGTTACTGTTCACTTCCCCTCAGTTATGTGCCAATCTCTCTGACTCCACTGTTAAACACAGCAGGCATAAAAAAATAGAGTCTGAAATGAAAGAAAGAGATCCTATTTACTGAATCATATTGTTGAGCTGACGGGAACTTTGGGCTTTGTGTAATCATAACCCTTCATTACAAGGACAAGAAAGCCGAAGCCCAGGGAGTTAGCTTCGATTGACTTGGCCAAATCACTCGATTTATTAATGTTACAGCTGGAGTATAAAGCATGTTTTTTATTAACTAATTTTACTGAAGTACAATGTACATACCATAAGATGCACATAGTTTGAAAGTCTAGTTGATGTATTTTGCTAAATGTATATATCTATGTAACCATAACCAACAAACACTAAACAAAATAGAGACCATTTAATTGTCCACAGTGGTTCATCACATTCTTCATTCTCATTGGAAAGCAGGTCTTTGGTTCCTAGTGTATTGTTTTTGTCACCAATGGATTTTCACCAATGCTTACCTACACCATTATTGGCAAGGAGCCCATAACTAGTAATAGAGTATATGGAATTTCATTTTAATTCTTGCTTAATTAACTATATGATGTTAGGTAAGCAGTTTCACTGAGTCAGTATCTACAGCTTTCACAGGCCAGAGTATAAGTTAGAGGCCAGATTATAAGGGTGAAAAAGCTTGCCTTTGGTTCCTCATCCCCATTTGTTCTGAGATATTTCCTTTAGTTTCTGTGCTGTGAGATGTAAGTAGTACTTTCTAGTTAGGTTTTGAGCTATCTAGGTACTCTTACAAAGAGAATTAAGTAAATGAACCCTTTGTTTTACAAGAACCCTAAAATTTTAGGATTTATTACTAAAGGCTCAAATAAGTCATTTGCTTACAGTCACCCAGCTTGTAAGTGGAATTTGCATTAATCATAGCTACTGAACTCCAACAGCCAGGACACTGTCCAGTTCTGCTACTCTGGCTATGGGAAGTCTCAAAGATGACAGTGTTTAAACCAAAAAGAATGACTCTTTGAAGGTGGAATTTGACCTATCAAGTCCTCTTAGAGGAAGTGTGATATATGGCCAGGGAAGTAATGGACACTTGTGCAATATCCCAGTCCTGCCAGTGGGGTTGTTCACTTGGTCCTGACCACGGTGGGAGGCCCAAGAAAGCCCATGAATAGTGCACCATTCCAAAGGAATAAACTGTGGCCATATCTGTCTGGGACAAGCCTGTGACCCAGAGAAGATGGGGCAGGTGGATTCTAGGGGTGCGATGGGGCAAGCAGGTATTATAGGCAATATGGCCTACAGAACCTTAGGTTCTAGGCTGGAGTGTATAACTCTTAATTATAGTAAAAGGAGAGAACTAATCACCCATTCACTCAAGGAGGTCACGCTTGCTAGAACCCTCATGCCTAGTGTGGTGCTGAAGCCTCCTCCCCACAGCACGGAAAGGGTTGTCTCATCTTGAGAGTGAGAATTAAACCTGATTCACAAAGAAAAGGCTTAGGAAGTCTGGCCTGAGAGAAAACTCAGATTTAGTCATACATTTTTGCTTGTCATTATCTATTGCAAGTTTAGCATAATACGTTTTGCTTTGTTTTTGTTTCTTTCTTTCTTTATTTCTAGACAGGGCCTTGCTATGTATTTCCAGCTCATCTTATAATTGCCATGTAGCATAGGCTGGCCTTGTATTTGCAATCCTCCTTCTTTAACCTCCTGAATGCTACTATTAAAGATAGTGCTACCACAACTGGTGCATAATACTCTTTTTTTTAAAAAAAAAACTCCTCTTGGCTGTTAAAAGTTTTCCTGAAGTAATTCAGGGAAGGATGTGAGACATGAAAGCAGTTCAATAGCTCAGGCACCAAATTAAGTACAACACATGTAATTCAGACCATACTTTGCTATGCAGGGAACTTGTAGGACCCAAAAGAAACAACTGAGATTTAGGGATGACAGCTGGCTGTGTCTTGAAAACATCCTAGACTGAGTCCTGCTTCTGGTTAAAGCTCTTTCTTGGTACTTTCTTGACTGCAGGCCTGCTAAGAGATACTCTAGATGGGGAAGCAGAATGCAGTCTTTAGTTGGGTTAGCAACACACTGATACATGCACTGCCCTTGGCCAATATCCAGCTACAGTTCTAGAAATACCTTAGTCCTTTCTGACTGGATTGAGTCTAGAAATAAACCTGGATCCTATACTTTGGAAATTTTAAAACCCAATAGACTTGGTTAGTTTTGTAGCTGGTTAATTCTCACACCTCCTTGTCATATTTTAAAGAAAGCTGCCGGCGATCAGAAGACCAAGACCGCACAAAAGCAGATGATACAGCAAGCAATTTCACGGGCAGCAAGACAATGGAGGCTTTGAGTAGTTGCTGGGCTACCAATGTCTACCCACTGATGGTGGTTTGCCAGGTTACCTTTGCCTCTAGTTTTAACCTTGAATGGGTCAGGAAAGTCAAGAAAGGGTGCTTCTTAGAGTCTGAGAGAAACAGGGATGTAAAATCAAGTTGCAGTTGCACAAGAACAGAAAAGGTAGCTGAGCCTGGAAAGGGTAGAGTAGACCCCAGGGTAAGACTGTTTTCCAAAGAGCCAACTAAATTAATCAAAATACTAAACCAATGAACCACCAAGGGCTGGAGCTCCAATAGGATTCCTTATCTCAATGTGAAGGGAGAGTGACTACTTACACTTGATAAATGTGTAAAGAGAAGTATTTGTTCATGTACAACAGGGTATATATTTCCCTTAAAGCTCACAAAATTTCCCCCTGGCCCACCAAAGCATGCATATTCATTTCTGACCAATGTTCGAGAATGTTTGGTTAGGAATAATCCATTATTTTGATCTCTGCACCAAAGCACTGTTTCCGGAAGCCAGTGGCACACAGGCACAGGAGCAGTTGAACTTCGCAATGCCATACCTTGCCCTTGAGACTTGCTTGGTCCTGATCTTCTCCCCTCTAAAATACTTACACTCTCAAAGCCTGGAGGCAGCCAAAGGAAGAACACAGCCCTAATACAGAGACCGCCTCACCCCAGGGAGTTTACTTTAGTGGCCATCTACAAGAGGCTTCCTGTTGGGTTACCATTTTGTCCCTTCAATTCTAGGGGTTAACCAGGGAAGGTCCTTGGTTAACCAAGATGTCCAACCATGCCTCTGATGTCCTCGTTCCCACACCCTCAAAGACCAGAGAGACCCAAGGTGGATTTAAACTATTTTTAACACAGAGATGGATGACTGAGGGCCTTACACAAAAAACCTAGTGTAGTTGTCGTCATCATAGACCAATCTTAGGTTTCTCCCTTGTTCTGAGCCTTATCCTCGCATGACCTTAAGAAAATTGACTTCAGAGAGTAGCACTAGCTGTTGCCTGAGCTTTATTGATGCCAGCAGAGCTACTATGATGACAAGGGGTCTTCTATAATGCTGAAAATCTCCTCTCTCTCTCTCTCTCTCTCTCTCTCTCATACCAAGGATTGAATTTACAACCTTGTGCTTCCTAGCAGGCGTGTATGCCACTGAGCTAAATCACTGGCCCTCCTTTATCATTTTTGTTGTGAGTCTTACTTCATGCGTAGCAAGCACTGCACAAGCCTGTGACCACACTTCATGAAAAGGAGTAGATTTTAGAAAATAGTTTTGCTTATTTACTTTTAAACTAAGAATAGCTAAAATCCCTCCAAGGGTTAAATCATACTCTTTGGATCCCAAACACAACTCAAATGTAGGCACTGCTAGCTTTTTTTTTTTTCTTCTCCAGATTCTGAATCTTCAGTGCTTTTATTTTTTAACGAAAATTCTACATTCATTTTCTCTGAAAATGACTTCTCTGTGCTCCAGTTTTTCTAGTTTAAAGATAAAATTGGATTTTTTAAAGAAGTTCAGAAACTAATTTTTAAAAATCGAAGACCATCAATAAGTAGCAGTTAGTCATTTGGATACTATTTTACACCCTCTTGTGCAAGGGACTACAATATCTTCTATCATCATTTGATGATGTCATTAGGCAATTCAAATTACATAGTTTTTGCTTTTCTTTACTCATGAGAATTTCATTAATTCTGAGCAATTAAATGGAAAGCTCAATTAGCCAATTCTGAGTAACAAAGTACTATTAGAGAAAGACATGTTCTGTTTTAAGTATACTTTCTAACAGTTTATAATAAACTGAAGCACTGTGACACTTTATGATCTATGTAAAAGATTTTCCCTAATCCTTCAACATCTTGCTAGTTTTTAGGGTTTTAAATATTAGAAATTTAGAAAATACAGAAGAGCATTTTAGTAAAATTATAAACAACCTATATGTTCACTACCCACCAACAATTTGTTGCATTTGCTTTTCAGTCTTTTTTAATTAAAAAATCTTTGCAGAATGAATTGCAATCCTCTTTGTTTCCTATTGTGTCATCCCCTTCCCTTAGTCAGTTAGGGTTATGAATACACACACACACACACACACACACACACACACCACAAGCATTTTAAGTTCTATTTAATTTATGTATCAAAAGACATATATGCCAGCTGTCTTAGTTACTTTCCTTGTTGCTGAGACAAAATACCTGATACCCAAATTTAAAGGAGGAAAGGTTTACTTGGTTCATAGTTTGTAGATGGTCCAGTCCATAATTGGATGGATCCAAGGCAGGGTGGTATCACAGAGAAACAGTTTATGGTGGGCAGAAGGCAGCAATGCAACAAGGGACGACCACAGCTCCTCCGTCTCTTATATTTGATCCTGTTACTTAGTGCAGGTTACAATCACACCCTTAATCCTTGTGCCCTTGAGTCTAGCATTGCACCATGAGTTAATCCAGTGTTATACACTCTAGTCCCAGCCACCTCTGAAAAAACTCCACCGATGACCACATGAGGCTTTGGGGGCCATCTGGACACAAGGCTTAACACTAAGCCCATGTGTATTCTCATTTTCAGATACATTTTAAATGCTCATAAGGGACAGCTTACCCTGTGTATTTTTGTATTAGAACTTACTTTTACACTTAACATTAGTTTGTCCATGAATATATCAATTGATACATGACTTTAGTTGTATTATTTATAGCATCAAACA